CGGGCGGCGGGGTAGGAGCGCCCAAGATGGCGGGAGGCCGGGGGCCGTAGCGCGGCGCGGGCGGCGAGGCGGGGCGGCAGGCGCGGCGGCTCTCGCGCCACCATGAGCAACATCTACATCCAGGAGCCCCCCACCAACGGCAAGGTGAGGCCCCCGGCGGCCGCGCGTACCCGCCCTTGGCCCTTTCGGGTGTGATTAGCCGTTTCTGAGCGTTGTTTGGCCGTGCAAACGCCGAGTGCGCCTGTCATGTGCCTGCGGCCCGGGAGCCACGGGCTGCGAAGCGTCCCGGGCCCGTCCCGTCCCGGTCCCTGCCAGCGAGGAAGCTGCGGGAAAACTAACGACCTCCCGTTTGTGTTTGTGCAGGTTTTGCTGCGAACGACGGCGGGGGATATCGACATAGAGCTGTGGTCCAAGGAAGCCCCGAAAGCATGCCGGAATTTCGTCCAGCTTTGCATGGAAGGTAACGGCCCAGCAGGGCGGGAGGTGCCGGAATTGGTAGCTTTGTGTCGCTTTTTGTGAAAGAAGAGGCTGTGGTTGTGATTTCAGCTTGTTATGATAACTGGTGGTGTTTGTATGTAGAAAATCCCGAATGGTATGCAGAAAGAGAATAGTGCTCAAGAGTTTTTTTAAGAAAACTTTAAAAAGTAGGGTTAAAGTTTAGGTTTTTTTGGTCCCTGAGATTTTTCCGGTGTGTGCAGACCCGAGAGGAGGCACCTTTGGTGCATGCACAGCTGCCCTGCATCTTCCTTATGTGGAAATTATGGGGCTGGGCAGGAGCAGGTGGAAGTGACGGCACCTGTGCCCCACACCGGGCTGCGAACGGGCCGGCAGCTCCCTGTATGGATCACTGCTCATGTGAGGCCTTAGCTGGGGCGAGGTGTAGGAGATTTAGCCCTTCTTTAAAACTAGTGAATGTGGGGACTATCTCGTGATAAAGGAACTTGACAATTTGCTGGAAAGAAACTTGTCAACATCCTTTTATTAATGATGTACAGCACCTCTTGCTGCAGAACTCTATGACATGCCACAGGTCTTGTCAGAAGTGTCATCAGTCATAACTTACAGATGAGATACAGTCACACCAAACAACAGTGGGAAAAGAGGAGGGAACACAGTGGAAGGAGCAGAACCCTGTTATAGGGCCTATTTTCTGGATCTCTGGTCACTGGATGTGGAATCCAGTCAGCCTAATCTGTATGGAAGTATAAATTTGAGACCAGTTAAATGTATCTAATCACTCTTTCTCTTTTTTTTTTCCTCCTCTTTCAGAGTATTACAATAACACAATATTCCACAGAGTTGTGCCTGGTTTTATAATACAAGGAGGTGATCCCACTGGTACCGGATCAGGTGGAGATTCAATCTATGGAGCTCCTTTCAAGGTAGTTATCTTAATTTGTGTGTTAACTTTTGGTAATTTCCAATTAGTTGATCTTCCAGTAAATTAGGTTGTAATAAAACCAAAACTAATGTAAGAAATGTAGCATCAGTTGTGTACACAAATGCCTTTGACATGTTGCGTCAGTATTCTTGCATATGCATTTTATATTCAAAGTCTTAAATGTAGTTGTTGTGATTTTTATGAATATAACTTTATTAACGTGAACAATCACGTGAATTGCACAGGGAAGAAGGAAGAATTAAGAGGGTTTATACATGGCAAGCTCAGAAATGCACATTGTTTACATATATTTATATCTCAGTTAGCAAGGGACCCTGAATGTTGTGTACACATTCGTTTGAGTTATTGATATTAGCCTAGCTTATTTCTTGGCCAGGAGCCCCAGATCACAAGTGAAGATGCACACGCTGTATAGTATGTTCTTGTTTTGTTTCAGACATGGTGGGGAAGAGCTTTAGCTAGTGAATGAAGCCACGTAGTCTGTCTTGGGGCCTCCCATCTCCCCTACCACTGGAGTAGACTCACACTCATGCTTGTTACACACCTTGATGTTTGTGGAGGGGATTGATACCTAAGCAGAGCACAAAACAAGTATTCCTAATGCTGTAGTAGCACTACTGTTTAAAATTAGTGATATCATTCAGTGTAGCAGTGTTCAGAATTGTGATACTACCATGCTATTATTGCTCATCAGTTTGCGTTCCCTTAATAGCATTCCTCTTGGGACTATGATACTTGTTCAGTATTGAACTACTGCAGTCTGCTACTGAGCTTTCAGTTATTTTACCCAAATTAAGATTTGTCCCTGAATGTTGTAGTTAACCAGAATAATAGATTTACAACAAATGTATGTGGTGCAGTCAAGATATATATATATGTATATTTATTTATTGGGGAGAGGAGGAGGGGAGAGAGAATTCTAACAAAAGTACCAAATAACACTAATTAGGCAATACTTGTAAAAACAAAAGACAGAACTTACAGTTTTTCTTTAAAATCTTTTCTTATGTATTTGTTTATATTATTTATATAGTATGTTTAGTGCTTTTCATTTTCAATCAGCATGGTTTTTAATAAAATATATTGAGGACAGCAGTTATTAAATATCATCTTGGCATAAAGTTATGTTATGCCATATAGATATACTGCTTTTATTATGGTCAGAAAAAAAGAGCTTATTTGTGTGTATGTGTATGTATTGATGTAAATCTAGTTGGCTAAAGAAGTGGAATATGTTTCTAAATCATGTTCCTGTGTCTGTCTTTTTTGGCAGGATGAGTTCCACTCACGATTGCGATTTAATCGCAGAGGACTTGTGGCTATGGCAAATGCTGGACCCCATGACAATGGCAGTCAGTTTTTCTTTACGTTGGGTCGTGCGGATGAGCTTAACAACAAGCACACGATCTTTGGAAAGGTCTGCTATGGGGCTAGAGCCTCAAATTGAGCTTGGCAGAAGAAGTTAGTTATTTGTATCTCTTTATTCAAGGGCTGTTCTAGTGCTATTTTTCTGCTGTGTATATGTGGAAATTTATTTCACTGCTTTATAGGTTGTCCCCATTCTGTTTGTTTCCTGTGCCTGATAGGAATGTTTCTGTTGGTAGTTTCTATAATTATCTGCATTGCTGTTGGTTTGCCATTGGTTTTCTTTGAGATTCTATTTTAGAGTTGTGCTTCCTTTCATGTAAATTTTATGACTGTGTATGATAAATCAGTTTAATGGTGCTTGGCATATTTCTAAAATTCCATTAGTAAGTTACCCAAGAAGAATCAGGAAAATTAAAATCACAAGATGGATTTGCCACTATCCTGTCTTTTTTGAAAGAAAGAGGTTATTTCTACATTTCACAGTGTGTTTATTTTCCCTTTTAGTAGCTTCCTGCCTCTCAAGCTCTTCCAAAGTGAAGTTTTAGCTACCTATGCTACCTTGTTCAACTGTATTATTAAATTGAAAATAAAAATGTTCCTTGTACCTATTGACTTTTAAAAATGTTATGTATGTAAAAATGTTATGATATTTTCTATGTCAGGTTACGGGGGACACTATCTATAACATGTTGCGACTGGCTGAAGTAGAAGTTGACAAGGAAGAGAGACCACTTAGTCCACACAAAATAAGAAGCAGTGAGGTGGGTGTGCTTTGTTTTGAAATATGCAACTTTAAGGTTTTTTGTTTGTTCATATTTTTCAGACAGGTGTGTTCTAATGTGAAAACTCAGCACACGTTTATAAGTATCAATGATATACATATCCTTGTATATGCTTATTTAAGATATTCACTCAGTTACAACAAAGTTCCCGCTAAAGATGTGTCTAAAATAATATTTTTAATAGGTTTTATTTAATCCATTTGATGACATTGTTCCAAGAGCAAATAGAAGGCTGAAGAAGGA